GCCTTGGCAAGCGCCTTCCCCCAGCTCCAGTGTCTTGTGGTCTTAAGTCCATGGGTTAGAATTAACTCAACAGCTCGTAGCAGCTTTGGCCTCCATGAGTCCTCACTAATAGATTAGCGGGAGCTGAAGACGCAGACACTCTGCTAGAGGCCAGGCCTCTGTTCCAGGCCTCCAGCTGGGATTCGCCTTCCTTCAGGTACCCCAGGGCTTGGGTCATGTCCCAAGTATTTGCCAGACAGGAAGAAGACCTTGAGTATGTTTTAACCTTCCTTTACAATTGTTTCTGGTGCTGTGCATGGGACACGTGGCTGTAATCCCAGCTACTCAGGAGGCCGAGGCGGAAGGATCGCTTGAGCTCAAAGTTGTTCAGGTCTACCCGGGGCAACAAGCAAGACCCTGTCTGTAAAAAAAAAACCAAAAACCTTTTTTCTTGAACTTTTACTAAAGAAAGACAAGAACATGATTTAAAAAATAAAACAGCCAGGCGCGGTGGCTCACGCCTGTCATCCCAGCACTTTGGGAGGCTGAGGCGGGCAGATCACCTGAGGTCAGGAGTTTGAGACCAGCCTGGCCAACATAGTGAAACCCCATCTCTACTAAAAATACAAAAGGTAGCCAGGTGTGGTGGCCCACGCCTGTAATTCCAGCTACTTGGGAGGCTGAGGCAGGAGAGTCGCTTGAACCCGGGATGCGGAGGTTGCAGTGGGGCTGAGATTGCACCCCTGCACCCCTGCATTTGCAGAGGTTCAATGTTCCCACGGTGACTACTTGGTGACTCTCTAGATTGATGGGTCTCAGCAGTGACCACACCCGGGAAGTATTGTGGAGTTTAAAAATAGCATTGCGTCCTGGTCCCACACCCATAAATTCTGATTTATTGGACTGGGTGTGGGCCTTGAGCATGATGTTACATAAAAGTTCCTCAGGTGATTCTGAGGCCTGGAGTGTTCATAAGCTGTCTCTTATACACATCTAGATGTGTATAAGAGACAGATCCTGGCTAACACGGTGAAACCCCGTCTCTACTAAAAAATACAAAAAACTAGCCGGGCAAGGTGGCGGGTGCCTGTAGTCCCAGCTACTCAGGAGGCCGATGCAGGAGAATGGCGTAAACCCGGGAGGCGGAGCTTGCAGTGAGCCGAGATCCGGCCACTGCACTCCAGCCTGGGCGACAGAGCGAGACTCCGCCTCAAAAAAAAAAAAAAATGTCCAAGTAACTAGGTGAACTTAACACAACTTGTGGAGTTCATACGTCCAAGAGGGCTTACTGGTAACGGTGTGCAAATGTGCAGTAAGAAGCAATGAGTGCAGAGGCTCAGTGGGTACTTATGCCCGTTTGCTTGTTGCTCCCAGAGGTCATCACGAGGTGGGTGGCTTCAGATCCCACTTACGCCACCAGATCTGATTAAAGAAAAACTTGGCTGGACATGGTGGCTCACGCCTGTAATCCCAGCACTTTGGGAGGCTGAGGCAGGCAGATCACTTGAGGCAAGGAGTTTGAGACCAGCCTGGCCAACATGATGAAACCTCATCTCTACCAAAAATACAAAAATTAGCTGGAGGTAGTGGCACACGCCTGTAATCCCAGATACTCAGGAGGCTGAGACAGGAGAATTGCTTGAACCTGGAAGGCAGAAGTTGCAGTGAGCTGAGATCACACCACCGCATTCCAGCCGGGGTGACAGAGTGAGACTCTGTCTCAAAAAAAAAAAAAAGGAAAAGAAAAACTTAAGTACCTTTAAATTTTAAGAAGTTTATTTGAGCATTCAGTGATTCATGAATCAGGGTAGCACTAGAGAGCAGGTGGCTAGTACACCACTGAGAGGGGCATGAGGGAAGACTTTCGTAAGGTGTTTGCAGAAGCCAGACACAGACGATAATTCTGACTGGTGAAAGTGGATAATTCCGAGTGAGAGGTTCGTTGGTGGTTTCTGACTGGTGTAGTTTCCAGTTTCATTTTACTGTTTACATTGGGGTTTGGTTTGTTCACATAGGAATTCACAGTACTAGAGCCACACCTTTGTCTAACGGCCTCCTGATTAGAGTTTTTCCTTTTTCGCCTTCTTTTCTTTTCTTTTTCCCCTTCTTTCCTTTCCTTTCCTTTCCTTCCCCTTTCTTTTCCTTTTCTTTTCCTTTTCCTTTCCTTTTTCCTTTCCTTTTCCTTTTCTTTTTTCCTTTCCTTTCCTTTTTCCTTTTTCTTTTCCTTTCCGTCACCCAGGCTGGAGTGCAGTGGCGCGATCTTGGCTCACTGTAACCTCCGCCTCCCGGATTCAGGCAGTTCTCCTGCCTCAGTCTCCCAAGTAGCTGGGATTACAGGTGTGCACCACCACGCCCAGCTAATTTTTGTATTTTTAGAAGAGATGGGGTTTCACCATATTGGTCAGGCTGGTCTCAAACTCCTGACCTCAGGCGATCCACCCACCTCGTCCTCCCAAAGTGCTGGGATTACAGGCGTGAGCCACTGTGCCCAGCCGCTGGAATTTTTTCAAACAGCACTGATAAATGCTACAAAATGTAAGCGAGAGTGAACGAAACAAAAGCGTTGTTGCCTCCAGCCGAGGGGACGGTGGAGGGCATGTTACTTCCAGTTTGTAGTCACGGTGGGAAGCTTGACGTGGCACAAAGCAAACGGTATTGGCTTCCTGAGGCTTCTTTTTGCTCTCTTTGCTTTTGACCCCCTGAGTGGGTGGGAAAATTGGATGCTGAGCTCTGGCCCATAAACAGATTGGGACGAGCAGGCTTTTTAGCTCGGTCTCATGGGAATGGAGAAGGCACTGCTGGAACAGCCCCCAAGCTCTGGCCTGGAATTAGAGGAGAAACTCATCCACTCTGTGCTGGGTCCAGGGGATTTCCCGCTGCTGGTAACAGGGAAGGTGTGAAGAGAATACTTTGGGGCTGGGCGCGGTGACTCAGGCCTGTAATCCCAGCACTTTTGGAGGCTGAGGCGGGTATATCACCAGAGGTCAGGAGTTCGAGACCAGCCTGGCCAACATGGTGAAACCCCGTCTCTACTAAAAATACAAAAAATTAGCCGGGCGTGGTGGTGGGCGCCTGTAATCCCAGCGACTCAGGAGGCTGAGGCAGGAGAGTCACTTGAACCAGGGGACAGAGGTTGCAGTGAGCCGAGATTGCACCATTGCACTCCAGCCTGGGCGACAGAATGAAACTCTGTCTCAAAAACAAACACAAAAACAAAAGCCACAACATAAAAGAGAGAATACTTTGGAAATAGGAAGCGTGGTACTCCCTGCCAATGAAGGAACCCTCTCCAGAGGATAAAGCCCTTGGTCTGAGGTCTTACCCTGTCATAGTTTTCTTTTGCTGTGTAACAAATTGCCCTGATACGTAGTAGCCTAAAACAACAGGCGTTTATTATTTTGGACAGTTTCTGAGGGTCAGGATTCTGAGTGGGGCGGGATGGCCTGGCTCAACGTCTCTTGTGAAGTTGCATTCACACTGGAGCTGCAGTCTTCCAAAGGCTTGATTGAGCCTGGAGGATCTGCCCCCGAGCCCATGTGTGATGCTGTTGGCAGAAGGCCTCAGTTCCCTGGAACGTGAGGCTCTCCACAGGGCTGCTCACGACATGGCACCTGCCTTCCCCGAGAGCAAGTGATCCACAAGACAGCGTGAGCGGGACAGGAGCCGCAGTGCCTTTTATGACTTAGCCTCTGAAGTCACACACTGTCTCTTGGGCTTTATTTCATTCACTAGAAATGAGTCACTAAGTCCAGCCCCCTTTTCACGAGGAGGGGAATATTTAAAAAATAAAACAGCCAGGCGCGGTGGCTCACGCCTGTCATCCCAGCACTTTGGGAGGCTGAGGCGGGCAGATCACCTGAGGTCAGGAGTTCGAGACCAGCCTGGCCAACATAGTGAAACCCCATCTCTAGTAAAAATACAAAAGGTAGCCAGGTGTGGTGGCCCACGCCTGTAATTCCAGCTACTTGGGAGACTGAGGCAGGAGAGTCGCTTGAACCCGGGATGCGGAGGTTGCAGTGGGGCCGAGATTGCACCCCTGCACCCCTGCATTTGCAGAGGTTCAATGTTCCCACGGTGACTCCTTGGTGACTCTCTAGATTGATGGGTCTCAGCAGTGACCACACCCGGGAAGTATTGTGGAGTTTAAAAATAGCATTGCGTCCTGGTCCCACACCC